CTTGCATCATGATGAATTGACCCCTTGTCGAAGCTTTAAAGTGTATAACAATTCATTATGGAAAATTGAGTGCAAGGATTGTGATGAGCAAATGTAGATTCTCCCAATATTCAAGAAAGTTCTAGAGCGGACAAGCAAGATAATCCTTGTTGAACATGAAATATATACATTGCATGTATATATTCATGTTGTGCAATATCTAGAGAATTGGGGGTAGGACTAATTTTAGCATGTACAAAATGGTATACCTAATACATTAAGCCTACCTAGTCCCTTCATTTTGATGAGTGCATGCATGATGCATGTTGCAGATATATTGGAGATTATGACATTCCTTGTGATGTGATGTGCACATGTTGCTTAGAGGAGTGTCTACTCCATCTAGAACGATTGGGTTAAAAGGATGGGATGGTCATTATCTTGTTTCAATTTTACTTGGTGCATTCTTAACCTTGGGGGAATATTTACTAATTCAGGAATCTTCCTCCTGTTGCTAGATTCGAATTCAAGGACTAATTCTTTTCAAATGGGAGGGAATCGTAGCAACCAAGTCAAACAATCCACTTCCAGTGGTTTCCTAGCTGAATGGTTTGAGTCCCTAGAGGAATAAAGGCCTTTAAAGATGAGAAAAGATCAGCTTTTGGCAGCTTGGGGAACTATTATTGTGATTAAAACTTTCCTGGAATATCGCTTGTGAATCCCAGTCCACTTGAGGGTGTCTGATAGCTGTGGTTCTTATTGGATTCCATTAGGAGGTAATTTTGGGTTTATTCCAAGCATTGCTTATTTGAATTTCAATATGTCTAACTTATATCTCTTTGTTGCTTTCTTTTGTTTGTTTGTTATTTTTATATCGTTTCAGCCATCACTTCCAGAGGCAAACGATCTTGGAAAGTTGTCTTTCAGTATGTTGTCACTGCACCATATATCAAGCCAAAAACCATACTCTGTTTCCGTTCCCAACGAATAGCCAGTAAACTTTCAGAAGTCTCATTTCTCCTTCATTAAGCCTCTCCATAGGCTCAACTATAGAACCAACCAAATTGGTTGTTACCATACTTGCACAATAATCACATCCTTTGATTACACATCCTTTGAGAACCAACCAAATTGGTTGTTACCATACTTACACAGTAATCACCTTTCTCCACATCGCTCTTTCCTCATTAGCATATCACCATAGCCACTTCCCCAACAGTGTATAAATAAATATCCCCAATCACCGAATACACGACCATTTTGTGTAGGACTCCAGAATTTCTCCATATAAAAAAATGATAGTCACAATTTATGTCATACAGGAAATCCCTCATCATCTTCTCAAGGCTTTTGCAAAAGTGAAGCATGAATGGAGGATAAGGACGTATAGCAGGTACGAATGCTTGATAGCATTGCCTTTATGAAGGACTCGTATGTTAACTCTTTCTTAAAAGTTCCCAAAACAGAATTAGTATTTGGTAAGAGTTTTCATTAGTCTGAACTATCCATCAATGCGCACACAATACATGCAAGCATCAAGGGGAGAGGGGGGGGGGGGGATGCTGAATCGAAAAAGGTATTCCACTTACCGCTACAACATGTGGAGCTAAACTACTAAATGAGTTCTCGAAGCCATAATAAACTGCAATAACAGAGAAATTCAACTTTCATTTTGAATATAACATGCAATTGAGCACCATTAAAATTTAAAGGAGTAGTCTATGTACCAGTAAGAATATCTATAACCCGTAGTTCTTTCAGTCGGCCAGCTAGCACTAGTCCAATAGCAACTGTCCCATATAAACAGAGAAGAAAATGCCTGCAGATACGTGTTGAAAATTACAGGATAGTCAATGTAAAAGTCTCACCAACTTGATCAACAGTGTTAAATACAAAATCCTTCATAATGAAAGTTGAATCTAATGTTATTCACATACATATTTTTCACAAGCATGTGAAGTGAAGAGTAAAGGGAGTGTCAAGATTAAACATACAAAAAAAAAAAAAAAAATCTCTCTAATAAGTTCTTATTTGGCAGAACTTTTTCACAATGACTTCCATTTGCAATTGCTTGGATATCCTTTATAGACCTTCCTCCAATGTTTTTGGTAAGGACTTTGTATTTTTATTAGCTAATGGAGTTGGTAGACCTCTTCATATGGATTTGTCCACTCAAAATGGCACAAGACCTAGTTGTGCTAAGGTCAAAGTGGAGGTGAATTTGTTAGCTACACTGCCTCAAAGGATTAACATCATTGAAGAGGAAGATAAAACTGGACCTNGTTTTTCAGTTTCTTAAAAAGCTCTTCTGTAGAAGAAACAGCTAGTTACGTTTTCTGTTTTTTCCTGATATGTAATAAGTTCAAACGATGGCAACAATTGCATGAGTATTTCTCCAGGAGGAGTAGCAATAAAAGTGATCAAGTTCCACAAAGGTTAGCCAATAATATATGCTAGTGATGGGGTCTCATTTGCTGTGGTGGGGGTGGGGGGTGGGGGAGGAGTATATGTGAGTATCCCCTATCCCCTTCCAAGGTTATGCAAAAATTAACAAGAAACTCCCATAGTGAAAAGGGAGAGTAAACAGCAAATATCCCCTATCTAAAAGGGCAATTCTTCACAGTGCATTGAAGGGTTGGTACCATGGATAAAAAGATGTTTCATATCACGCCTTTGATGAAAAAGACCATTACAATGACCTAAATGGTTTTTTTTTTTAAAACAAAAAAATAGAGAGAGACTCAAGAATCTCACTTCAATTATCTAACCGCTATTCTACAATCAAAAGCACTGTGTAACATCTGAAGTTGACTGCAACAAAAACCATTCTAGATTTTCAAAGAATGCAGAATGACCACACATTCTTCACATGGTGCTATCTGCAGTTGCAGAAGCCTGTTTTCCTACAGCCTTATTTCTCCAGATGATGACTTCCTATGAGAATCACATCTCCCGTCCGTATTTCAGAAATCATTTTATGAATGTGTATTGCATTTTCTCAAACTATTTCTCATGTTTTTTTCTGAACCCAACTAACTCTACCCGTTCCAAGCATCTTTCTATTACTACCATGTTGACACAAGGTTAAATTAACACAGAAGACTAGTAAACAATGGGAAGATTTTTTATTTTTTATTTTTTTAAAAAAATTGTAACTGCGCATGATACACCCCACTGCCTGTCCCAGGCCCCGGCAGACGGCAGTAGTGCGAGCAATTCGTGTATGCGATCAGACCTTAAACAGAAAGACTAATCAGTATCATTTGCTCACCAGAGAAGAAAAGCCATAAAGTATCTGGTGTTTCTCTCGCCTATGCAATTGTTCTGCAGTGATATTGGGAAACAGTATGAAAACCATAAGAACATATACAGTGAACATAGTGTTGATATAGAGTTAACTCGTATATATCTGAAAGATGGAAAAAAATGGGAGAAAATAACAAACCATCCATCCACAATGATGATCAAATCGAGCGACACAACGATCACAAATGCTGCAGTGCTTTGACCTAGCAGGTCTGTACTAGGAGAGGAAATAATGTTTAATTAGCTAGAGCCGTAAACTAGAGCATCAGAGCTTTAAACAGAAGAAGCACACTCACTTTGGAATCTTGCAGGTTGGACATTCCTTTTCTGAGAATATAATATTGTCATAGGGATAAGCAGATAGATACTGCGAAACATTCTCAATATTTACAGTTCCTGGGTCAGAAAAGCTAGTCAATAGAAAGAGTAGAATACCCCCTCCAACTGCCAACAAGCTCGTGTACCTGCAATTTTATGTAATCTCTGTGGAATTCAAATACATATATCTCGATTATCCACCAAACTAGTCAAGTTTTTTTCTTTTCTTTTTTGGATAATGGTAAAAGTCTGCAAAGATAGTCAAGTTACAAACAAACTGATGCATATGAGAGCAACGTAAAACACAAAGATTCAACAGTACCTGTGCACTTCACCTAAGTAATACCCAGGAATGTACTTAAAGGCTGACTGCACAATAAAGTAGTAACTGGCTCCAATTATCCCCAAATAAATGAGCTGCGTTTAGTAACAGACAATTGTCAAATAAAATTTCTCCATATTCACAAAAGAACAAGCAACATGGAAACAGAAGAAACTTAAAAAACAAGGCAACTCTCATTGAGTCTCTCAAAAACTAGCCCCATTTCCAACGTAAGTACTACTGAATGCTGTTATTGTCATTTCAAATGATCCTCTTTGGAATGGAAGTTTCATTATTTTCCATCATTTAGTATTTCAACATTTTGAAAAGCATACAGAAAATTTGTGAATATTAATGACACACTACGAGATCTACTTTTACACCTCTAAGAGCAATTTTACATTATCCAATCTAGTGCGAGTAAATAGCTCTGACTCCACATCTTGTCTACTAAACTTAGAAATAAGAATATGTATTCTGAGTACATGCCTAGATATCATGAAATGAATCATGGTGCTAAACTCTTTTTTGTTCAATAGAAATACAGGCAAGACATCTCTAATTAGAATGGCAACAGTATTTAACATGCGTTAAGCGACTATGAGAGAAAAGATTATAGGCATCTATTTTACAGAAGACAGAGATGGACAAAGTGTGAAAAGAGAGCTCTCCTCCTCTCTAGAAGTCTAGCTGCCTTAGACAACCAACGTCAAACTTCTTTCAGGAAAAGCCAGGATTTTCTATCATTATAGGTTATTCCTGGTTCTATATTATTTGTTGTGTCATTCGCTTTCATTACCCTATTACATTGCTGTTGCTATTGCTTGTTACTTTATTTTTACTGTTACTTGAGCCGAGGGTCTATCGAAAACAGTCTCTCTACCTTTATAGGGTAGGGGTAAGGTCTGCGTACACACTACCCTCACTAGACCCCACTTATGAGATTAAACTGGGTTTGTTGTTGCTATTGTATAAGTTAGTGTTTTCAGTCTATAGAGTAACTTAAGCCTATTTCTACAGCGACAAGAATGTAAATTAATTCGTCGCAGTGTTTTTGAGAGCGCGAAGCGCAAAAAAGCGACAAGGGCTCGCCTCGCTTCAAAAGCGAAGCGCACGCTTTATTAAAGTGAAGCGCAATTCTTAAAAAACATAATGTAAAATTATAAATAATCAAAAACTTCAATTTAAAAACTTAAAAGTAGGTACTAGGTACCACCAAATCATCCACAAACCATAGGACAAGCAAAATTAAAGCTACTATACTAGAATAAACATCTTATTCTTCTACTCTTCTTCTTCTTCTTCAAGATTGTCAAAATCTTGAATTCCTCTATTATCTTCATATTACTTGTCATCTTCTTCTTCCCCCTCCTCTTCATAATCACTTTCAACTTCATCAATTAGGGATAGGGATCGACTTGTAGTAGCCACACTTTTTCCCTTCCTAATAGAGCTTGAACTTGGAGTATATCTCCTTAAACCATAAGGATTCTCCCCAACTCCACTACCAACCGCAACATCACCCCAAGTGAAATCGGAGTCGCCTTTAAATACTTCTTCATCTTCACAATTTTCGGGGACTCCGGTTATCCATTCATTAGCCTCATCAATATTGTCCAAAAGAATTGGATGAATTATATTGCGGTGGTTGTAGCGACGCCTCAATGCTCTATTGTATTTTATGAACACTAGATTATGGAGGCGCTTCAAGGTTAGTCGATTCCTCTTCTTTGTATGAATCTGCAAACAAGATGTGTCAACTAATTAATAGGAGTTTGGACAATTGAGATATAATTTACTTTATCTCAAAACGCGAAATAATTCTTTTTATTTCTCACGTGTTCAAAAACACTCAAGTTCCTTTCACATCCGGATGAGCTACAAGTTAAACTTAGAACTTTGATGGCGAAAGTCTGTAACTCCGGAGTCTGTACACCATATTGGTCCCACCACTCAACTATAGAAGTCAAAAAAATGTTCAAGAGTTAATAAGTATAAAAAATACATTGAAGTTAGAGCTATAAAATATAGAAACACTTGGTCACCTGGCGACTTCGTCTTTCTTTGTTTAATAGCAAGTCGAAGCTTAAAAAGTCCTTCAGCTGCCTTGTAAGTAGCAAGCTGATCTACTATCTTTTCTTGCAAGTCTTCATCTGGGGTCAACTTGATAACAACCTGATGGAATCCTGTCCACTTCTTTAGCCAATGAATTATTCTCATGCTGATCATAAAAGAGTGACGGGTTCAGAATAAGTCCAACTGCATGCAAAGGTCTGGGAAGTTGCTCATTCCACTTCTTTAGCCAATGAATTATTCTCATGCTGATCATAAAAGAGTGACAGGTTCAGAATAAGTCCAGCTGCATGCAAAGGTCTATGAAGTTGCTCATTCCATCTTGCGTCAATGATCTGAAAGACCTTTGCATATTTCTGCTCATCAGTAAATGATGCTTGAATAGCCTCCTTGGCCCTATCCATAGCTTCATAGAGGTAGCCCATTGGTGGTTTTTGCTCCCCATCCACCAAACGGAGTACTTTAACCAAAGGGAAACCAATTTTAAGAGCATGAAGGACATTATTCCAAAAAGAATAAGAAAGAATAATGCGTGCAACCTCTCTCCCCGCACTTTCCTTTGCAAATTTACTCTTGCTCCATTCCTCTGAAGTGACCATCTTTCTCAAATTGCCTTTTTGCAAGTGGATACTATGCAAAGTCAAGAAAGCAGTGGCGAACCTTGTCTTGCCCGGTTTCACCAAATTTTTTTGCATGAGGAATCTTCTCATCGTATTCAATAACAAGGGCCGCTGAGAAATATAAGAATGTACCCTAACGCCCTGGCCAAAAACTGTAGAGAAGGGTTTTTCCTTGAAAATGTCCCCGAACATCAAGTTGATACAATGAGCCGCACATGGAGTCCAATAGACATTCTTGTACGCTCCTTCAATCATGCCACCCGCTTTCACATTTTCACTTGCATTATCAGTGACCACTTGAACAACTTTGCTTGGGCCAATATTTTCGATGGTGTTCTGAAACAAGGTGAACATTTTGATATGGTCAGTGGATGAGTCGCTAGCATCAATGGACTCAAGAAACAAACTTCCCCTGGGAGAATTCACCAACACATTAATAATCATTTTCCCAGTTCTTGCCATCCACTTATCCATCATAATGGAGCAGCCATACTTGTTCCACACAACTTTATGCTCCTCAACAATTTTATTAGTCTCCTCTACTTCCTTATTTAGATAAGGACCTCTTATTTTATGATAAGTGGGAGGCTTCATTCCAAGTCCGTATTAACCAACGACCTCAATAAAGTCTCCAAAAGTGTCATAGTTGACACAATTGAAGGGGAGCCCAGCATCATAATGTCTTTAGCAATTTTTTGTACATCTTTTCCACCGCTCTGTGCTTCCGGCTTCTTCGGGAAAAAGCAATCTATAGGACCTTTAGTCGATGATCCATAGCTTGACCCATCTCTTCCCCGTTTTGTTGGAAGTGACAATTCTTCAATATCATCATCAAGATTGGTCACCATTGGTTGATGACTCATTTGATTTTTTTGCTCCTTCTTCTTCTCAACAAAATTCTTTATTTCTTCCCTCACCTCCGGTGGGCATTTCGGACAACTTGTGACATTTCTATCGCCACCAATAAGATGGTATTTAAAGCGATAAATTCCACCCGTTGTCGTCTTGTTACAAAACTTACATACAACATTTGTATTCTTCTCATTAACTCTATCGCCATATCGCCAAGCCGGGTCTTTCTATTTCGAACTTTGAGACATTTTGAAATCCCTATTAAGATATAAGAAAATACATAATCAAATCAACTGAAAATATAACATATATATAATTAATTTATATGCTGAAATATAATAATAACATATATATAATTAATTTTATATGTAGAAATATACTAATAAAATGAAATACATATAATAATTAAATTTATATGCTGAAATATACACTAAAATGAGAAGGAAAAAGAAAGAAAAAAATGGTTACTCTGTTCTGGACTGGAGAAAGAAAGAAAGAAGAAGAAAGAAAAAAGAAAAAAACGAGAAGAACTGAAGAATAAAGGAGAAAGAAGAAGAAGAAGAAATTACCTGGGTCCTGGACTGGTCGAGTCGCGAGCGAGAAAGGAGAATGGGTCGAGCTCGAGCGAGAGAGAAAGGGTCAGCAATGGCGTCTCTGTTTTCTCGATTTCAGCTTTAGCAGGTAAAACTCTAGGTTTTGTGACTCTCTGTTTTGTCGAAGACTGTTTTGTCGAAGGGGAAGGGGTTTTTTGTCGATTTAGGGTCTGTTTTGTCTAATAGAATAACAGACCCAAAGTTTTTTTTAAAAAAAAAAGACACCCCTGCGCTTTTTCAACAGAAGCGATCGCTTCATCGCTTTCTTCGCTTCCTCGCTTCATTGTTTTATCCAGTGAAGCGTGCGCTTCCACAGATCGAGTCGCCTCAGGGAGCTAGAAGCGACAGTGGGTCGCATCGCGTCGCTTCGCGCTTAAAGCGACGAAACGCATGCTTTTCTAAACACTGATTCGTCGAACAATAAATCTTGATCAAATGCTGTCAATTCTATGTTTGGATAGTGAATGTAATTCCTAGAAATATAAAACAATTTTCTCATTTCAGTGCATAAGGTTCTGATGTAAGAAGCACTTTTTGGATGCTTGTTCAGTGGAACAATTTGCAACGATCCGACCACTCGTTTCCACATTTGATGCTTCCCGTTAGGTTGTTGTTTTGTGACTTGCGGGGATGGTTGGTTGGTTCCGAGAAGGTTTCGAAGTGAATTGGAACACTTAGTTCCCTTTTTGGAAGCTTAAGTAATAAGAGTTGACCAAAGTTTGACTTTTGTGTAAACGACCTCGAATTCGTATTTTGATGGTTCCAATAGGGTTGTACGGTGATTTTGGACTTAGATGTATGTCCAGATTGTATTTGGAGGTTCCTAGAATGATTTAGCTCTAATTGCCGAAGTTGGCGATTTTGAAGGTTTAGAAAGTTCACAAGTTTGATCTTGAGTTGATTTTGAGGTTATCGAGTTCGAATTGTTATTTCGGGACTTGGAATAGGTCTATTTCGTCATTTGGAACTTGTGTTTAGTTTCATTCCGAGATAGTTTGATATGAATCGGACACTTGGTTGTGATATTTGAAGTTCTTGAACTTGAAGGCTTGCATGGTGTGTTTTGGTGTTTGATTCTTGGTTATGGATGTTATTTTGATGTTTTGAGCTCATGAGTGAGTTCGTATGAGGTTTATATACTTGTGTGGATGTTTGGTGTGGGGCCCGAGGGGCTCGAGCGAGCTTCAGATTGATTTCGGATTGGTTTTGGGAAAGCTTAGGTATGCAGGTGCTGCAGACATTGCAATTGCGATGGTCCGCTCGCAATTGCGAAGGTCCACAATTGCGAAGTCTTGATCGCATTTGCGATGGGTGCCTGAGAAGGCCAGTTCGTATTTGCGAAACTGGTATCGCAATTGCAACATCTGCATTTGTGAAGGGAGTATCGCATTTGCGACACTTGGTCGCGTTTGCGAGAACTGAAGTTGAAGGAGTCAGTTCGCATTTGCGAGGTTTGCAATTGCGAACCCCTGGTCGCATTTACAACTTCTGCAGTTGACTATATTGGAGGAATTTCGGAACTTAGACCCATTATCTCATGTTTTGAACCTTAGACTTGGAGATGGCTGATTTTTTAAGAGAATTTCCATACAAGGCTTTGGGGCAAGTGATTTCTGCTTAATTTTGATATTATATCTTGTTTTCCTATAGATTATTACACCTAGATTATGGGATCTGGAAGAGAATATTGGGGGTTCTTGACTATTTTTTGCAAAAATGAAAATTGGGAATTTGGTAGTCGATTTGGACTCGGTTTTGGAACCTAATTACATATTTGGACACGTGTGGTTATGACCAGTCAGGATCTACCCCTTGACTCGGAATTTCACCGTGTGGGCCCGGGGTTCACTTATGTTGACTTTTTGTTGATTGGGTAAAAATTGAAACTTTATTTTTGGAATTGATTCCTATAGCAATGTTTGATGCTATTGAGTTGTTTTTGGCTAGATTTGAGCCGAACATAGGTGATTTTTAGGAGAAAGGCTATTTTTTAGGGTTGATTTGGACTTATTGTAAGCATCTTGCCTAACTTTGTGTGAGGGAATAAACCTTAGGATTTAGCCTTATTTGCCTAATTGTGTTACGTGTAAAGCAACGTGTACGCGAGGTGACGAGCGTGTACACGGGTGCTATGTGTGATTTGACTGGATTAAACCTTAGGCTTCTAATATGCCTTGTTTTGATGACATGCTTTATATGAGACATGTTTAATCATTCTATGACTAAATGAACCTAGTTGCTACAATTGATTTAGCAGAAGTCATGCTTTATATGTTGAACACTCATCCGCATCGTTATATTATCATGTCCTTGTGCACCTTGTTGACGAATTAAGAGCATATGTCTTTTGATGATAATTTGGCATATTGCAATGTTATGTCATGGCACATGTGGACATGTTGGGCGGATTGATTGGGTGGTGGCACGAGATTTTTTCCATGCGATTGTGATGATATTGTGGCACGAGGTCTTTGTCGTGGGATAGTGATGATATTGTGGCACGAGGTTTTGGCCGTGCGAATTGTGATTATTGTTATGCATGAGGTTGTTGCCGTGCAACGTGTGGATACGGATCCATCCCCCTATAGTCGCCCTCTCATGTTTCTCTCGTGATGGTGTACATGCGAACTGTGGTATCATGATTGTTGTGATTGATTGTGATGCGTGGAGTATAAAGGTGGCATTTCACTGTTGTTGTGTGGAGTATAACGATTACATTCCACTGTTGATGACGTGTGGAGTATAAGGGTGGATATTCATGTAGCGGTATAAGGGTGGTATTCCTGATCATGCACATGCGTTTTTTATGCTTTGTCATGCATTTAGACATGTTTCCACTTATATTTAACATGTTATTCTATACCTCTGTTATCATTTGAAGATTTTATTAGTCTATGTTGAGTTGATATCTCCTATTTTGTTAAGCTTCAGTATTGTATCTTATATTTTTGTTGCCGGTTATTGGATATACTGCATAGGTTTTTTGATTAGTGAGTATCAAATGACTTGAACCTCGTCACTACTTCACCGAAGTTAGTCTTAATACTTATTGAGTACATGTTGTCCCGTACTCATACTACACTTTTGCACGTTTTTGTGCGGATTCAGGTGCTGGGGATAGCGGGCTTGGAGAGTGAGGTTGTGTTTGTTCGAGAGGACTCAAGGTAGTACTGCATGGACGCCGCAAACCCTTGGAGCTATGCGTAGTTTGACTGGATTACACCTTAGGCTTCTAATATGCCTTATTTTGATGAAATGCTTTATATGAAACATGTTTAATCATTCTATGACTAAATGAGCCTAGTTGCTACAATTGATTTAGCTGAAGTCATGCTTTATATTTTGAACACTCATCCCCATCGTTATATTATCATGTCCTTGTGCACCTTGTTGACGAATTATGAGCATAAGTCTTTTGATGATAATTTGGCATATTGCAATGTTATGATCATGGCACATGTGGACATGTTGGGCGGATTGACTGGATGTTGGCACGAGATCTTTGCCGTGCGAATTGTGATTATTGTTATGCACGAGGTTGTTGCCGTGCAACGTATGGATACGGATCATCCCCTATAGTCACCCTCTCATGTTTCTCTCTTGATGGTGTACACGTGTACTGTAGTATCATGAATGTTGTGATTGATTGTGATACGTGGAGTATAAGGGTGATTATTGTTATGCACGAGGTTGTTGCCGTGTAACGTATGGATATGGATCATCCCCTATAGTCACCCTCTCATGTTTCTCTCGTGATGGTGTACACGCGTACTGTAGTATCATGATTATTGTGATTGATTGTGATGCGTGGAGAATAAGGGTGGCATTTCACTGTTGTTGTGTGGAGTATAAGGGTGGCATTTCACTGTTGATGACGTGTGGAGTATAAGGGTGGTATTTCACTGTTGATATTCATGTGGCGGTATAACGGTGGCATTCCTGATCATGCATATGCGTTTTTTATGTTTTGTCATGCATTTAGACATGTTTCCACTTGATTTAACATGCGATTCTATGTCTCTGTTATCATTTGAAGATTTTGTTAGTTAGGATGATTTTACCAATGTTGAGTTGATATCTCCTGTTTTGTTGAGCTTCGGTATTGCATCTTGTTATATTCTTATTTCCAGTTATTGGATATACTACACAGGTTCTTTGATTAATGAGTATCAAATGACTTGAACCTCGTCACTACTACAACGAAGTTAGTCTTGATACTTACTGAGTACATGTTATCCCGTACTCATACTACACTTTTGCACGTTTTTGTGCAGATCCGGGTGCTGGAGGTAGCGGGCTTCGAGAGCGAGCTTGTGTCTGTTCGAGAGGATTCAAGGTAGTACTACATGGACGCCGCAGACCTTTGGAGTCCCCTTCCCACATTTGTATACTATTACTTGCAGACAATATTGTAATTTTGAGATTCCTTATGTATTCGATTTAGAGCTCATGACTTTGTATTACCTGATTTTGGGAGTTGTATTGTATTATGTATTGTTGTTCCGGCTTATGTTTATAACTATTTCCGTTGTTTATGATAAACCAAACTTATTATATCATGTCTTGATAGTTTAATGTTGTTAATGTGATTGGCTTACCTAGGCTTGAAGGTTAGGTGTCATCACGACACTTTGGTGGGAAGTGGGATTTGGAT